TGAAATATATCAGATCTTTTATTTTTCAATCTGTTTCCAATTGTTATTGTGATATTTGTCTTCTTACTCTACAAACTAAAAATTCCTTTCCTATCAGTGAAATCAAAACCCAGTCCATATTTGAATTAATCCACATTGATACATGGGGACCTTATAAAACTACTACATATAATGATTTAAAGTATTTTTTAACCATTGTGGATGATTTTAGCCAAGCCACTTGGACTTATCTTCTAAAAACCAAAGCTATTGCCTTCTTTATGCTTAATTTTTTTCTAGCTATGGTTGAAAGGCAATTCAATACAAAGGTCAAGATCATTAGATCTGACAATGCCTTAGAATTAGAAAAAAACAATTCAACAGTTGAATTTTTTCAATCCAAAGGGATATTACACCAAACTTCTTGCACTGCCACCCCACAACAAAATGGAGTGATCAAAAGAAAACATAGACACTTATTGGAAACCTCCAGATCTCTTCTTTTTCAATGAAGACTTCCTATTTCTTTCTGGGGTGAGTGTCTTCTTACTGCCACTTTTGTCATTAATAGGTTTCCTTCTAGAATTTTAAATGGGAAGACTCCTTATCACATTCTGTATGAGAAATCTCATTCTTACTCAAATTTGAAGCGTTTTGGTTGTCTTTGTTATACCTCAACTCTTTCTCAATCTAGACATAAGTTTGAACCAAGAGTTGTGGCTTGTGTTTTCTTAGGATATCCTAATGGGCAAAAGGGTTATAAAGTCTTAACTTTGGATACAAGAAAAAATCTTGTGTCTAGAGATATGAGGTTCTTAAATCAATTTTTCCTTTTAAAATTGGGATAAACTCTCATTCTCCTATATCTGCTATTTTTTCCAGTTTCTCCAAACCAAAATCCCTTCTATGAGACTCCTTACACATCTCAATCTCCCCCACCTTCCTCACTTCCAGTACTTATTGAATCGACACATGTTCCTTCTCATTCTCCTGTTACTCTTATTTCTGACCAAATTATACCCCTGTTATTCCACCTATAGTCGATCCTCCTAGACACTTTTCTAGACAACACAAGAAACCTGCCTATCTTTCTGATTATATGTTTAATGCAATATACTTTACATATCTCACTAATTCTTGTTTTGACTCTTATGTCACTCCTGCTACTTATCCTTTTTGCAGCCCTTTCTTCTGTTAATCAACAAGTCATAAATTCTGCTATTGCTATTCATGAACCTACCAGTTTTGCACAAGCTGTTATGCACCCCTGGTTGGCAACAGGCCATAGCAAATGAATTTGCAGCTTTGGAATCTAACAAAACTTGGGAAGTTGTTATTCTACCACTAGGAAAGAAAGCTCTTCCTTGTAAGTGGGTCTACAAGGTCAAGCAAAAATCAGATGGGAGTATAGAAAGATTGAAAGCAACACTAGTTGTTCGAGGTGATATCCAGAGGGAGAGAGTGGACTTTACTGAAACTTTTTCTCCTGTGGTCAAACTGACCACCATTAGGTGCATTCTGACCATTGCAGTTAAACATGGTTGGAGAATTTCTCAATTAGACGTGAATAATGATTTTCTACATGGGGATTTATTGGAGGAAGTGTTCATGAAATTTCCCCCGGTATGACACCTCCTAGTCCTACTCATGTTTGTAAGCTTACCAAGTCTCTTTTGGCGGATCCTACTTGTTACATGCGTATCATAGGTAAATTAAACTATCTTACCCATAGCTGACCTGATATATGATTTGCAGTTCAACACTTGTCTCAGTTTGTACAAACGCCTCGCATTCCCCATTACATTGCTGCTCTGCGAGTGCTCTATTATCTCAGAATTAATCTCAGCCAGAGATTGTTTTTATCAGCTGATTCTTCTCTCAAATTGGTTGCTTACTGCGATGCGGATTGGGGTTCTTATTTGGATAGTAGAAGATCCGTCAGTGGGTTTTTTTTATCACTCTTGGGGGCTCAACCATTTCGTGGAAGTCCAAGAAACAACTCTCTACCTCATTATCCTCAGCTGTACCCGGATATCGTTCCATGCAAGGCATTGTAGCAGAGTTAACTTGGCTCAACCGTCTTCTCCTCGACATAGGTTTTCCATCGGAGCTTCCAATTCCAGTTAATTTCGACAGTCAATCAGCCATACACATTACCCGCAATCCTGTCTTTCATGAGAGAACCAAATATGTGGAACTTGATTGCCATTTTGTCAGGCAACAATCCTTGCTGGTCTCATCTCACTCTCTTATGTGTCGGCATCTTCTCAAATCGCCGATCTGTTCACCAAGGATCTTTCGGGATCTTCTCATCAAGTCATTCTCCCCAAGTTGGGACTCCTTCCACTCCCCTCCAACTTGAGGCGGGGTGTTGAGAATGAAAATCACTCGACACCATTGTTGTTACTAGATAGAATCAAGGATGAAGAAAAGAAAGAGAAGAAGTCGGTGTTAGTTTCAATCTGTTCAAAGGAAATTCAATATCAAGTTCAAAATGAGTATAAAAGCAATTTTCCCTCTTTAGGATGCTATGAACACGTGGGAAATAAATCAGATGGTTAGAGTTTGTTACAAGTTAAGCAATATAATTATGATAGCTGTGCAAATACATTTACATTTATGTTTATTTTATACAACAAATACTTGTATAAATAGATGTACAGTGAAGCAATACAAATCATCAGAAAATTTCCCAAATCAGTCTCTTCTTTACTTGTTTTTTTATCTCTGTAATTTAGTTTCTGCATTTCAAATTCTGCCTTTCTTTTCTCTCTCTCTCTCTCTCTCTCTCTCTCTCTC